TTACATTGTGAACATTGCATATCCCATGCCTGTTTCAGCTGTAATTACATTGTCTGTACTAGCTCTGTTCGTTTGTTTATGAATTTATATTTATCTTGTAAACTAAAACAATTGCAAGCAACCTAATGCGATAAGGAAGTGATTAATAAGACAATTTCAACTAGTTATTTAATTTAATTGAGGTTTATGCAACTTTAAATTTAATAGAAATAAAGTGTTTTCAAAATATTTGTATGCTGTATATTATTATTGATTTAAAAAAGTAATACTACTACTACTACTACTACTAATAATAATAATAATAATTATTATTATTATTATACCAGGATGGTTAAAGCGTACATTTTTTTGTCCAAGTAACCCAACAAATTAGTTATTTTTTAACCAAATGCATTGGGTTACTAACTTACAAACCAATCCATTGGGTTAAAATAACCCAACATTAGGTAGGTGCTATAGTAACCCACCATTGGGTTATCTGTTTGGTAATTTTTAACCCAACTATTTTAAGTGAGTAGCACTGACATTTGACATTGCAATTGATAAGGAGAGACAAGATAAGCAATGATATTTGTATCAAAGACCCTTTAATCAGCTCAGAGATTCTGATAACTTGGAGATTTTACTGCAATGTAGGTCAGCAATTCCCTGCCACTCTCTTCGTATCTCTTTCAACATCAATCGAGTCTCTCCAACAGCCAATGATGAGTTCCAGCATTACAAGAGAGACGCACTGACAGAAGCCTTGCCAGAACGAGCTCAAACGGATAACCACTAGGCCACGGTCCATGAGTTCCGCCACCATCTCAATGCCAGGCATCCCTCTATGCCATGCACAGAGCAGCTGCCCTCAAGACTGAGAGACAAGGAGGGGCAACTCTTGTACACTTATTCACCATCTGTTTGCAGGAGGGCTTGGGTGGTGTCTGCCAGTGGAAGCACGGACCACCTCGACATTGGAAAGAGACAAGGAGCGAGTCCTTAAATCACTGTCACAGCTTCCACCTCTGTGATTGATCAGCTTCGTTTAGCAGGAGCAGCCAACACACAGGGAGGGCTTGTCCCAACGTACTTCTACCCGAATCTGGAACTCAGTAGAAGGCAAACACAGAGACGCTAACAGCTGCAACAGCAATGGGGTTTCCCCCTCAAACACTCATTACTGCTCACTTAGATCATTTCTGGCCAAAGCAGAGGCAGCAATGGCCTTCTTGTTAAGTTGATGTTATGTTTTTTTTTTTCATAGCAGCTATTTATTTATTACACGGCTCTTTAGAAGCTTTAGAAGTCTAACTGATCAGTTAATTTAATTAATTAACTCAAGCATTTAGCAGACACTTTTATCCAAAGCAACTTACAGTGCATTCAGATTATACATTTTTTAACCAGTACGTGTGTTCCCTGGGAATCAAACCCACAACCTTTTGCACTGCTAACACAATGCTCTACCACTGAGCCACAGGAACATCAGTTGCAACACAGTGGTCATCCATGGCAACACAGCATATTAGTCCGCTCATCCAGGCAACTGAAATATACTACTTTGATGACTCTCACCTCACCTCAGAGTTAAATCAACTCTGCTCAGAGTACATATTGTCCCAATCTACAGAGTGTTAAAGTAACACTGAAGCAGAGTTACCACTGTTGAGGATTATGTGATACGTTTTCATGTCTAAAAGCCTGAGCAGTAGTTGTTCATCTTCAACATTGTTAACAGCTGGTTTTCTTTACTAATGCTCACTCGTCAATTAATTAATTGCTTAATTATCCCATTAACTTTAACTCGGCTTCAGTGTTACTTTAACACTCTGTAGATTGGGACAATATGTACTCTGAGCAGAGTTGATTTAACTCTGGGGATTTTGCTAACCACAACTGGTGCCATCTTGCTCCTCAGCAAAAAGTATAGCAAAATGAAAACTAAAGTCCTCTGAAGTAATATTGCAGGGTTTGTCTTCTTGTGAATATTAGTATTGTAATTTTGCAGTTGTACAATAAAATAAAAATTATAATGCCATTTACAGAGTGTCTATTAAGTGCAAATAGCCCATCTTGTTGGCAGAGGCTATTTACACTAGCTCCGCCCACCAATGTCTGGTCGGGATAGACAACATTACAAAAGACATGTGTTAAGTAACAGGAAGGATGGAGGAGACGGAGGGTGAAAGTTGCATGGTGGCAGCTTTTGACACGATCGACCCGAGTTCGAATCCGCCTTTTGCCGAACTCATTGTTTTCTCTTTTCCCATCACAAATCAGATCGGAAAGAGATTTGTTCTCAATAAAAATGAAGGAAACATTCAAAAAAGTGGAAATAACAAAGTGTTTATTGGGTAGGGTTAGGGGCAGGTGTAGCGAGGGCTTTATTGTACCAGTAAGGTGGCATTCATTTAATAATTTTAAATATGATAATTTACACTTAATATGTTATTACTGCATACTGTTTTATAATGTACTACAATACGGAGGTGCAAATATCTGTCATTTTTTGCACCAAGTATAAATAGCATCTACTATTTAAACTTATTGCAAAGAAAATTATGCTATTTTTACACCGTGTAAATAGCATCTATCTTTATTTGCACTTAGTGCAAATGGCTGCTGCCTTTTATTTAATACTAGATTTTTTTACAGTACAAAAATAGTACAATATTAATAATCAGAATACAATTATTTTATAGTCACTGAATGGGTCAAAAAACGCAATAGGGACTATGAAAAATGGACAGATTTCCCGAAGATCTTTTTTTTTCTAAATAAAACCTTTAAAACAATATACATGCAAAATAAATTTCAAATCATTAATTTCACATCTACACATTTATTTGTTGTTGTGTAATAATAGGGATAATGAACAGTCCATTCATTATGGCAAAATAAAACCTTTCAGCATGGTACAAGACACCTTACTTAAAAGGTAGGGCTGGGCGATATAGCTAAAAAAAATTATCAACGATATAATATTTCATATCGTTAGGTATCGATAATTATTTTTTTAAAACAAAAAGCAATAGAATTTTTTATTTATTTAACCACTGTATTTATAATTAACACAATTTATTGAGACAAACAACAAATATTTTTGTTTTAACAATCAAACACAATAAAAATTAAACAAATATCTAATTTCTAATGTTTTATATGCAGATTAAATAGGTCTTTATTGTATAGGTCTAATTGTCTCCCGAGGGCGCAATGAGCAAAATAATGCAGCGCATTTAAATTGTCAACGAAAGGAAGTAACTCTATAAAAACGTGCATTACGTCTAAATTAACTCATAAAAATCTAATATAATTTCGTAAATTGCATAAACAATTATGAACAAAACAGCATCATGTATTTATGCATTGCTTAATACAAAGAGCCGAAACGGCATTCACACAGACTGCATTTAAAAACATATGAGATGCAGTGAAAAGGAATAAAACGCCACAAATTCATGACGTGTTTTCTAAAAGTTTTAACTGTTTTAACTTTGCATGGCTTTCTATACATCTCTTCTGTGAGACGCGAGCGCAGCAGTCATATTTGTCCGTCTAAAAAATGTGCTGAATATGCATTCTGTGTTTCAGTTTTAACCCATTCAAGATCTTCTCCGCATTTAGCTTCTATATTTCTCTAATATTTTGAAAGCAGCAGCGGCGTGTCTCGTGGGCTAGACTAATAAAACATTAAAATGCAACAACGTCACTTACATCATCACCGCATCTCGCGCGCCACTGATGACGCTCCCTGATGCACACCTAACATTCAAATGCAAATGTTTATTTTAAATTTGACTAATATTCATTCTTTATTCACAATCTCCTCATCACAGGCAGGCACAGCACTCATTTCAGCATGTGTTCGTGTTTGTGTGTGCTATCTGCGTCACTCATAGTACGTGCCTATATCGTGCGCTATATCAAACTATTTTTCTATCGATATCGAAGAAGGTGTACCGTCGATAAATATAGATACCGTTTTATCGCCCAGGCCTACTTAAAGGTCAAGTGTGTTTCTTTGAATTTCTTTTATTCAGCCAATGGCAGACGGAGGTAGTTTTTAAGAAAACAGTCGCTATTTTTCAAGTACAGACTTTTACTTTAATCACTTTTAACATCTTTTTTTTTTTTTTTTTTGCTATTTCAATCTAGCTTAAAGATGAATGTTTTTAAGAACAATGAATCTGTGCTAAATTCATAAAACAGAGCTCTCTTCATATTCCTTATGCTTTTGTGAACATTTAAACTCTCCTTACACTGGAAGAACGGACATAATACAATATTAAAATACATAGATCATCCCCATGACCACTCATTTCAACATTTATGACTTTTGCGATTGTCTCCTTGATGGCTTTTTCAGTCTCATTGAGTCGCTGATGTGTAGAGATCACGCTGGCATGAGCAGGAATGAGCTCCCTAAAGAGAGTTCACATCCTTGGGCCTCCATTCACTTTTTTTTCACAGGGAAAACGTTTTGACTTCTCTGTCCCCTCTTTTAAGAAGCTCACGGCTGGTCTTTGGGATTTACCCACCGCTATGCATTCAGGTTTTCCGTTAGCAAAAGGGGACAGTAACCACATCCATAGATTTTCATTTTACTCTTTGTCAGGCTGCTAAATAGAAATCAGCACTCAGGCTGCTCAAATTCCACATGCCAAATACGTATCATCTGTGGCAAGTCATCTTGTGATTTATGGTAACATGAACAGAGTTAAATTCTAGTTTATAGGAAAACTGTGATGAGTTCATTCCTAACAGATGTACCATACCAAGTGAAACTAAATGAAAGTTAAACCATTATCATAGAAATGGCCACTGACAACAAAACAACCACTGCTACCTACCTTCTATATAACGGTCATTAAAACATAGCAAAAGGGAGACCATTTCTCAGGAATGTCTTGTTCTGTCAAAAACAAAGGGGAGGACAATATATGTAATGCAATATAGTTTACAAGAATAACTCTTAAGCTTGCATGTGCAAGTGCCTGATTAAACAGGTGGCCCAAAAACTTTTAATGTATCATAGCAGCATTGCTAATTATGATTGGCTTAAGTTGACAGTTCGTTTTCTAGCTGTCAGTGAAAAGTGTGTCAGTGTTTTTGAAATAGTTTTAGTCATCTCTCAGAATGTGACATGCCCATCAGGATTTGAGTTTTAGATGGTCCTCAAGTTGAATGAATGCAAACAAAGCGACAAGGAATTAGTTGATGCTAGGCAGCTCTCCAGCTAAGGTTTACGTTCTTCTTAATGCTGTCTTTAACAGATACGATTACACGAGTGTGCCTCTAACTCCACATTTGGCTGAATGCGTTGATCCATCTTGACAAGCACATAATATGGGCATGGCTTGCACATATGACAAATAAGCGAGAAGACAGAGAAAAGCAGAACTTCTGGAAGTTGAGACAACACTTTCAGCTGTTTTTGTTCTCTCTCTCACTGACAATGTACCCACCCCCCAAAGACACTGAAAGATTGTGGCAATCCTTTCAAAATTACATTAGCAAAAGCCTTCATCTCTCCCCCTCACTTTGAGTAGGTGGCATGAATATGAGCCAAATAACTGAAGACAGTGCGATGCTGAGAACACATCGGTGAAGACATAGCACTTGGGATGTCATTTAAATGTGCTTATGTGTAACATACATATACAGATGGATGCACCTCAGTGCCTTGAGAAAGGGGTCCGGCTGTGGTCTCCATAATTTTCAGATAAGTAATTAAATTGGGCCAGTGTCTGTTTGGTCCATATTAATAATAAGCTATGCTATAACAGCTCTTTACAACATAAGACAAAAGAAAATGACAATGATATTTCATCTTAAATAATAAATCAACTGAGACAACCGTATTTGGGAGTCAGGTGTTTGGGGAATAATAAAATAAAACAGTTTTCTTAAATTTGTAATGAATATTATATAAATTTTTAATATCAAATAGGTAAAGATGTCTAAACCATAAGAGTATTTTTTCCCATGGTGCAATTCAAATGCATTTGTGCATCATTTTTTATATTACCGTTAACTTCCCAAATTATTATTATATTATTATTATTATTCATTATAATTATTTGAAACACTTTTGAACTCCCTTGAACCCTCTTGTGCCCCCCTGGAAGTCTCCGGACCCCAGGTTGAAAAATCTGGTACACAACACCTTACATACATTTGAAACATATTTATATATTCATATTGTGCTATTTAGTATATTTGTATCACATTGCAGATAATTTGTTTCTCAAAGTGTTTATCACAATATACCGAGGTGAAAAGGTTTACCTGATATCACATCAAAGCTGTATCCATCATTGTCTTATTTTTTACAAATAAAAGCAATTTCTGAGGCTACACAACAATCTGCTGAAGCACAATTATTCATCCATCCCCTCTCGGGTTTTCCCAACAATTAAAAAGCTACGTGGAGAAAAGTGAAGGGCTCCCTGTGAGGCACAGTGGGAGGTGTGCTTAGTGCTGTGGCACGCGTGTATGGAAAGTTGTATATGGGTCTCAGCTGCCAACTGTGGCAGTTTGAGAGTCTTAACGAGATCTGACTGTCCTCTCAGCGGACCTGCTCTGTAACAATACATTACAAGAAACATTTCACATTATTATCAATGTTGAAAACAATTGGGCTGCTTCATATTTTTGTGGAAACCGTGATGCATTTTTAATTTGAGCTCAGCCAGCGTCTTTGAGAGTATACACTATTGATGCAGAAATTTAAAAAGCATAGGTTACACTGATCATGTGATTTAGGTTACATGGACATTAACACATGACATTTTGAAATCTTTCACAATTCTCAAAAGTATTTTGTGACTTCAGAGAACTTGCTCTTGAATTTGACATCCACATCCCCATCTCCTCTCAGAACTTGGAGATGTTGGTGCTAGACAGTTTCTAACGCTTACCAGGGAAGGCACTCACTGTAGATAGGGAAAGTACAGTGAATCGCTGCTGTTGCCAACTGGACTGTCTAAAAATACTCCATCTAAGCCATCTGACTCCCACTTGAAGCAAAAGTTCATGTCAAAATAAGCAACACACAAAGTATTACGTGGGATAGATAGCCTCTCCCCAGCAATGAGTCTGAAAATTAGAGACAGAGAAGCAGCAAAGTGCTTATGTCTGGCCCACTAAATGGAAGGACTGGGAGAGTGCACTGCTCAGCTGCGCAAAAAACGCTGCCAAGATGTACCGTGGACTTTTAGTGAGCCTTTTTACTTGCACTGGAGAGTGAAAGAGAGAAAGTCAAATAAAATGTGTGGTGCAGTAAGATGTGACGATTTTCAAACGCTCTTTCCTCTCATCTCTATTTATAAACCGCCTGCTATAACATGCTGGACCCAAAACGATTTTTAAAAAAGTTCATTCATGTGTTCAAGAAAAGACATCTGTGGTATTGAATTCTGCAATTTCATGCCTTTCTGTCCATTGTTATCCAATCTGCCTTTCCAAGAGTCGCCATTTACCATTTAAAGAAGTGGCCTGTAAAATAAATGACAGCAGTCACACACTTGGTCTGCCAAGTGCTCTTTAAATCATTTTACAGAAACAGAAAATCTGTAAATCTATCACTTAGACGTTGAAATAATAACTTATAGGATACAGCTTAAACATATCATGAGCCAAGCCTAACAAAACATAATTTACTCCAAGTTGACATAAATGAAGATCTGTGCAGTGAGGTACATACAGACAAGACAGACGTTTTATCCTAAGCGATAATTCTGCTTCTTTTTGTACTGACTTTACCCTCAGAGACCACAATGATGAACATAATAATAGCAGTTTCACATCTAAACTCATATTATTATTATTAAAAAATAATAAGAATGTTTTCCTAACCTAGACTAAATTCAGTGAGCAGATATTATTGAAGCTTTGACTGGTGTGAAGTGACTGGTGTCTATTTTAGTGAATTTGACCTCGCCAAAAACACTTTGTAGCAAAAGAAAATTTAAAATAAATCAATCAAATAGTCAAGAGGTCACGTGTACCGCTTGTACACCAGTTAGAGTGTCATAGAATGCGTATATAAAATAATAAGATATACAACTGATATATACCTTTTTAAAGAAATTAATACTTTTTATTTAGCACTGATCAATTCAACTGAAATTCCAAATCAAGTGACAGTAAAGGCATGTATAACGTTACAAAAGGTTTCTATTTCAAAAGCACTAATTTCAAAAGTGATAATAATAAGAAATATTTTTTGAGAACCAAATCAGCATATTAGAATTACTTCAGAGGGATCAAAAGAGTAATGGCTGCTTAAAATTCTGATTTGCCATCACACAGTCAGGATTAAAATATATTTTAAAAAGAGAAAATTGTTATTTTAAATTGTATTTTTTTCACAATATTACTGTTTTTACTGTACTTTTGATCAAAACAAAATAAGAGACTTCGGTAACACTTTACAATAAGGTTCCATTTGTTAGCATTATTTAATTACATTAGTTAACATAAACCATCAATGAAAAATACTTCTAAAACATGTATTAATCTTAGTTAAATGTTAATTCAACATTTACTAGTACATTATTAAAATCAAAACTTTTATCTATTAATGTTATTTAATGGACCTGAGCTAACATGAACTCTGAACAGTTGTATTTGTAAAATATTGGCAAAGTTTAATAAATTCTGTAACAATGTATTGCTCATTGATAGTTAATGCATTAATTATAGTCAACAAATGGAACCTTATTGTAAAGTGTTTCCGAGACTTCTTTGATTTAAAAAAATAAATTAATTAATATAGCTAAAGTTAATTAAATATTATTACACATAAATACAATACATTCAATAAATTATTATGAAATGCTAATTGGTCCTTAATGAACTTGAAATCAGTAATTTGATTGCATCAAAGCATGCGATAAGGTACACTACATAAGGCTCCTTGTGTTGTTAAATATACAGTTTTGTTTAATCAGCATCCAAACAGCGTACATGTAAGTTTTAATAGTTTTGCTGTACATTAAGATGTTATACTGGATGATCAACTTGTCTGAACTATAATGCTAGTTTAGACACGGATGGATGATCAGTCTGAACCATCATGACAGGTCGATGTTGCAAGGTCTGTGTTAAGTGAGGTGATATACAGGATTTGCTTTCAGTGTGACCAGAAGAAAGTGAGAGAGTGTGTGGCCCCTAAATCCACTTCCCCACACAGAGATAATTAGCTACCTTATCAGCATAGGACACCAGATGCCCCCCACTGGAGTGACAGGTCATGGACTCCAAGCAGCTGGGGATTGGGGGAAGATAAGATGAGAAAACGAGCGAGGGAGAGAGAGAGAGAGAGAAGAAAGGAAGAAGCCTTGTAAGCCCTGCAAGACTGAAGCAGCGTGTGTCTCTGGCCTATCAGGTCCACCAGGACCCCTCAGCCCTCATTAGCATAAATTCAAATGACAAATGTGGCCGACGCTGGCAGAGACTAATTAATTCACAAAGGGGGGAAATCGCTGGCATTAGACACCAAATCCTCTACTGCCAGAGGACTGAACAAGTGTTAAAGCGCTAGAGCAAGACTTTGCTTCTCCTTTTTTTGTTATTTTTTCCCCATAATACATTTCAGCATGGTTTTCTAAGAAGGAGAGACTGAGGGGAAAAAAATAACAGAGAAAGAGAGATAGATAAAGCCAAAGTCTATATATCCGGGTATGGATCTAGTGAGCTGACATGGCTGTTAGTATGTACATTGTGGCGCTCATGTGCGGTCATATAGCTGATCAATTTAGTGTGATGACTGAATCATGCTCAACACACACATGACATCTGCACACAATCCCCGCTTTCTTATTCCGTCACTCTGTGCATTTATCTACAGCATTTGCGAACCCGCTGCCCTCACAGTAAAAGGATAAGGGCACCCCCTTGTGTCTGCCATGCTGAGTACATACATACAATACAAAATAAACATATTGTAATGTCTAGATATTTCTATTATAGTTGAAAGACAAAAGTTCACAATATTTTGAGTATTATAAAATAATGAGTATTATAAATTGATGCCTGACACACTTGGAAATGTCAAATGTGCACAAGCAGCAAGCATATTAATTAAAAATCTTTACATAAAGTAATTTCATTACTCTTTGTTTCAGTGCTCTTAATGTGCTTAACTGACAGCAACAGCTGGATCAGATCAAATCCAGGTGTTCATGAGAAGACAGCGATCAGCTAGCCTCACACTCTCGTGCATTTGAATGTGAGAGCAAGCAAGTGAGATGTATAGAAACTAAACCAGGTGCACTACTTTATTCTAAGTCTCATAAAATCCCCCATAATTTCCTAACTGCTGCACAAGTGCTCGGAGTACTTTGAAGTCGTTCCATTAAAAGAATTATAACATACCCTTTCCGTGCCATTATGTAGGTTTACCTCAATAACATTTGTATCGTAATTAGGTAATAAATACTGCAGTATGTATAACATGATGCTAAAGAATGGCAGTGATCCACTAATATGCCAGAACAACACCTGCAAAATATATTGTCCTGAGCAAGGAAGGACCACTGTGGTGGACAGTTAAGCCAATTTAAAAGCCTTCACCATAAATTACTTCTAAAGGAAGATTTGAAACAGCACCACAACTATTACGGTCCCAAACCTTTTTATTTTCATATAAAACCATTACGGTTTCCACATTCAGTATATGTTACACCCGGTGTTTAACGGTCATAGAATATGGTTTTGTCAGGCCCATCTTTGATTTTTTATGATATTCCATAGTCCAATGGGCACATATATAGATCGTTCCATGAATTTTGTCTATATGTTTGCTTCCATGGCAATACTCAGTAGTCTGGCTGGCAAGCTATTGTACAGTGTGTTATCATCAGTTGTTAGGCTGTGTGTCCACCAAAGTGTTTTTTAGCCAGCTGAAAGTGCCAGGCGCTCTACTGAAAACGCCTAGCTGTGAGCGTTTGAGAAAGTTTTTTTCAGTTGAGACACAATGTGGTTGCTAAGACACGGAGTATCCAATAAAGCAGGGGTGTCAAACTCAGTTCCTGGAGGGCCGCAGCCTTGCATAGTTTAGTTCCAACCCCTCCAACACACATACCTTATAGTTTTCAAATAAGCCTTAATAACTTGATTAGCTGGATCAGGTGTGTTTAATTAGGGTTGCATCTAAACTGTGCAGGGCTGTGGCCCTCCAGGAACTGAGTTTGACACCCCTGCACTAAAGTAATATGGCAGACGCATCACAAATTAAATGTTTCTCCAAGCATTATTTTTCATAACAACATTGTGATAGTCTGGGAATTCCATCTGGTAAAGACATGAATGCTCGGAGACGAGCAATATTTCCTCCTCCATTGCTGTTCAGTCGTAGTACAAGCAGGGTGTGATCAGGGTTGCCAGATTTTCACAACACAACCCGCCCAATTGCTAATCAACATTGTTTATGGTTGCATGAATATATTTTATTTTATTTGGATTAATGTCTTGTATGATGGTTTATTTCTCTGTTATAGTATGATTAATATGAATGTCTCAGTCTGTGAGGACTTACAGTTGTGGTTAAGTTAGCCTATTTTGTTCTGTTATGATGCTTGAAAGGCAAAAAAAAAAAAGCAACAGCACGTGAAGTGAGAATAATGCGATATCTGCCTTTGATCTCGTTGGTATCTGTTCAGGTGCGTTCGACTTCATGCGGCGCCGCACAAACCGATCGGCGGCTGACTTGAAGCAGTGCATGCCGGTTAGAAATTTTGTCCAACTTGAACCGGCGCCGACGCTACGTCACTGTCACGTGTGGCATCAAAGTACCGCGAGAGCGTTTCGAGAACAGCCGGTTGACTCGGCTGGTGCAGCTTTTTCAGAGCGACTGCAGGTGCGCTGATGACAACACAGCTGTTTCACGATTGGTCAAATTCACCACATGACAACAATGAAGTGTGTTTCTAACATCTTCAAATCCAACACTGCTCATAAATCTGTGTTTTTAGAACATTAAAAGCTTTTTTACTGTAGTCGCAATGTTATATTGAGTTACGTTTATCATGAAAGCATATATACCCCTACTTTATTAGTATATATTTACGTTGAACTTAATTCTTGAATAGATGGCGCTGAATTAAGCAGTATATAAAAAGTGTTTCTGTTGCTCATGAAAACGTTTCTGAAACGTCTGTGTATTTGACAAATATTGCATTTAATTCACTTCATCTGTGATAGAGTATGCAAACACCGCGTTAGCGTCACTAACGGGAGCAGAAAGTGTCCAGCTTGACGGCCCCGTTTTCAACTCCACCCCCGACTGCAAGCGGCTACTCTCGTTGACTGCCGTCTATAGCGGTGCTTCAAGTCGAACGCACCCTTCCACTTCAAGAGGGCTGAACTGTCCGTCTTGACTGCGCTTATTTCACTCCTCCCCTATGGGGGTAGAATTGTTGCTTAATTCCAAATAAATAGATTATGATCCACAAATAAATAGAATGAGATCCACAAATAAATCTTAAAGTTTCACAAACATGACTTAAATTCACAAATAAATAAAATGAGATTTGTAAATAAAAAACATATTCACAAATATATATTTATGTCACAACCACAACTTTGCCTGGCATTTATTTGTGAATCGTGTCCTGTGCATTTGCGAATTGTGAAACATTTCTTGCATCAAGACGTGCTGACAATCCACAAATACGTGGACTCCACCCACCATCTACTCAAGCCAATCAGATAACAGCCACATTTTGCTGACCAATCGTAGCACGATCTCGCTATAGCCAATCACGTTTTGCATTACAATCAGGGCGGTCTCGTCCTGAGATAACTTCATTCATCTGCATTGACTCAAATAGGTCATATAAGGGCCATACAATGGGTACAGTAAAATATGTTTATACAATTGATAAAAACACATACAACACTTCACACGTCTTTACCAGTAACTTATAAAACAAGTACAATAAGAGAAAATAAAGGGGGAGGTGGCCAACAAAGACCCTCAGATTTCTACCCCACACTCAATACCCATGACACACACTCGTGAAAAATCAGTAATATTAAACACAGCACTCCATGTGGACACGCAGTACAAGGTACCACGGCCAACCCCTCCCACCTAAATCCACACACATCCACATACAAAACAAAATATAACAGACGGACCCAGATGAATTCCAGACAGAACAAAACAGAGTAGAGTAGAACAGAGCAGAAGTGCAGTCAGTTACGTGAGGTTCGTTAGGCTTCAATTAAGATCACTAGAAACCCCTGGACGTGCAATCAGTCCTGCTGGACATTAAACAAGTTATGCATAAAAACTTGGTTTAAAACAAACTTTAAAACTAGCCATACCTACCAAGAAAACAGTACAATGCTGCAATACACATGGTCGCTCACCACGCAGGATTACAGCTACTTGCAGGCCCATATGGTAATAAGCCTCTATTTAACAGGCAAAAAGGCATTTTTAAAACCGGGACAAACCTGAAAACTGGCCAACAGCCAGCACACGACAGACAGGAGGATAACCCAACTGCTAGCACTCATTCAAAGCGCCACATGTCACAAAGGGACGGTACCAAGGATGATGCATCCCAAGCAACCAAACACTCCCCCTTTTATAGGCACACAGGCACTAATTGGCTCATGAAACTTACCCAACCATGATAAAGTATGAACACTGATAGGTTCACCTGTTTGGGTAACGCCAGCCAAATATACTGGGTCTATAGCTCACTCTGCTACACTCGCATTGTAAATTCCTTTGAATGCCCAGGAGTTAAAAAAAGTTTTACTATGTTTAAATTCATACTTTTGGAGAATGTAGCCTACTTCAAAGGACAAAAAAAATCTCAACCACTGATGAAGTGTTCTCAAGCCATGCATAGGAAATATAACTAGGCATTGAAATAATACTCATTAAAATATATTTAAAACTTTATGTTTCCCAGTTCAACATTGAAAAGTCTGCAACATGTCACAGATAAATGCATCAGCGCATGATACTTTTTGCCATATTTTCTGCTTTGTAAAATATATTTAATATAATATGATTGCACTGTGGGGTGGTTTTCCAATCCCCTCCTCTTCTAGCATATAATGAATATGTAATCATATGTTTTCTTAATACTAGTGTATATATTCTGGTATTTATAAGCAATGTCTGTATTTGGTGTCTGAGAGGAGGGTTTGACCCATCTCAGGAATGCAGTAGCCTAACTGTGTTTACTCATTTAGCCTGGCTTCCAGAGAATAAATATGTACTTGTTTTGTAATAGTTCATTTGAATCATTATATAATTGAATGTTATATTTTATAGAAAAAGAGTTATCAGTTTGAACTTTGTTCTTATTCATTTTATTATGTGGTTCTCATGATAGCCGTATGAGACCTCTAAGGACCAGCACACCACATGTATGCTTAACATGTACTATGCTTAATTCTTTTTAGGGTTTATAGCACTATTAGTTTCTATGTTAAACTATGACAGTGAATCATGTGTAGAAGTTTTATCAGTGCTCTGTATTGTTTTGTTCCAGTGATGTGCTGCAGATATTGCCTATGTTTTATCTAATGGTGTATTTTCAGGGGATGTTTTAGGACAGGCATGTGACCATGCCAAAGGAACAGTATGCAGGAGAATCAACAGCTGCCCAAATGAGAATTGCCCTCACAAGATTTATGACTCCCCTACCATCCTTACAATAGTTGCTTAAGAATGGAACTTACTGTCTCCAATATACTGCCTTCAAGAAAAGTTGGTTTAAAACAAACTTTAAAACTAGCCATACCTACCAAGAAAACAGTACAATGCTGCAATACACATGGTCGCTCACCACGCAGGATTACAGCTACTTGCAGGCCCATATCTAAAAACAAACAAGGTAATAAGCCTCTATTTAACAGGCAAAAAGGCATTTTTAAAACCGGGACAAACCTGAAAACTGGCCAACAGCCAGCACACGACAGACAGGAGGATAACCCAACTGCTAGCACTCATTCAAAGCGCCACATGTAACAAAGGGACGGTACCAAGGATGATGCATCCCAAGCAACCAAACACTCCCCCTTTTATAGGCACACAGGCACTAATTGGCTCATGAAACTTACCCAACCATGATAAAGTATGAACACTGATAGGTTCACCTGTTTGGGTAACGCCAGCCAAATATACTGGGTCTATAGCTCACTCTGCTACACTATTAAACATTCTTAATTATGGTCCAATATCCCTGACAAACCCCTTTGGCTTATAACCTAACAGAATCTTCAACTGAACAAAGTACACAGATTAGATAGATTAATCTTTAAAAAAAAAAAATAATAATAATAATAATTATATATATACATATATATATATATATACAGTGGGTACGGAAA